AGCCTTCCTGCTCCTATGATGCTGCTTGGCCTGGTGTGTTCATCCAGCTCTACACCTTGTTATCTCTTAATGTAACTGCAGTTCTGAGGAAGGGTCACCGGACCCGAAACGTTAACTCTGTTTTTTTTCCTTCACAGGTGCTGCCAGACCTGCTGAGCTTTTCCAGCAACCTAGTTTTTGTGCCACATTCCTCTTTCTGTTACCTCACACTCACTCACTCTCTGCTATTGCACCCACCTCACATCAAGGCTCACGCTCTAACACTTTCACTATTGTCTCCAACATCTTCCCTCACTGATTCGTGTTCCCCCCAACCCCCGCCGTCCCAACCTTCCATGTCACTAACCCTTCATGGCCTCTGCAGTGCCTACTCATTTGCCCACGACACCACACAACCTTTTGACCACCGGCACCAGCACCAGCACTAACAGCCATGCCACCCACTAGCACAAAGGCCTTAGATATGTGAACAGGTGCCCGACATCAGGTTCCTCAGCCCCAAGGACAGAATCCTGTCCCTCACAGGAAGTGACCAGCACCACTCCTGCAGAGATGCTGAGACATTCATGCTGTTTTTTATTTCACACTAACTCCGTTGTCAGTGCAATTCATTACATACCACTTCTAACCACTGGCTTCAAGATTTTCTCTTCCTTGTTCTTGTATGTACCAGTGGGATGTCTGAGGCCCTGGCAGAGAAATGGCCTGCTCTGCCAGAAACCACTAGTTGATCTCAGAGGAGGAGAGTTCCAGGGCCTCAAAGGAAGTATCAGCAAGGCTACCTTCTACATCCCCCATCTGTCAGATACGGACCCCTTAGTGGGAATACCACATTTAGAAAGTTTCAGAGGTCAATCTGGTGAGCAGTTCACTGTAATAGCACTACAGCTGGTAGAGGAATAAGTGTCCCAAGTTACTGGCACGCTAAGAACTTCTGGAGACCAGGCACCTGCTTACTCAAGCAGGAGCGGATCGTGTGGTGTCAGCAATCAGGAACTTTGTCCACACACATTGGATCTTCTATGCTCATGCCATAACTAGAAATTGCTAGGAAAACTCACCAGGTCTGGCAACATCTGTGAAGTGAAAACGTAGTTCCAGCCAGTAACCCTTCTTTTCAGAATTCCTAGCCCTTATAAACTCTTTGCCTTGGCTAACAACGCACATTTCAAATGTGGCTATCAGAAACCTTAGCTCAGTGGAGAGATTAACCTGTGATGGTGTTGGATTTCAGGATATTTTCTGATCAACCTCTGAGGTTAGAACACACTTCTGTTGACAGGCGAGACTCGAACCTGTGACTCCTGCCTCTGAGGTAGGTACATTACCACGGCGCTCCAAGACACTTCAACGTCAGTCAAATCCGATAGGCAGAGTTGAAAAAGAGCTGGTTTGCTCCTGCGCAACACTCAACCCTGCGGACTCAGGCGCCAAGCGGGGGCTAATTGAGACTGCGCATGATCGCCACTCCCTTTTACCACAACCTGTACGGAGCGCCGCCACGTAGTGCACGCGCACGCGTTCTCCCCCGGGAGGGGAGGGAATGGAGCCGGCCAGCGGGAGCGCGCTCCTCAACCCGCGGGCCGCGCATGCGTCGGCAGTGATGGTGGGCGAGTGGAACCCATGAGGGAGCGAAGCCGGGGAGGGGGAAACGAGAGAGCGACGCACGGAGCGAGCGAGAGCGAACACGAGCGGGAGACATGGCCGGGGTGTTCGACATCGACTTGGATCCCGAGTACCAGCAGGAAGAAGCCGTTTCGGACGAGGAGCTGGAAGGGGTAAAGAGAAGAAAGGGAATTGGCGCGGCGGGCGGGCGGTTGGGTGGGGGCAGTGAGGCAGAGGAGAACCCGGTGTTGTCGCTGCCTCAGGGGAAGGCGAGGCCTGTGGAGTAGGCCGGAGGGGAGGGAGGGAAAGCCTGAGAGGGGACCACTTCACTCTCACTCACTCCCTTCCCAGCAACAATAAATGGCCCGAGAGGGAGATTGAGGCCCGGGCTGGGGGTGTGAAGAGCGGCTTTAAAGGAGGATGTAGGCCTACCTGTTATAGTAGGGAGGAGCAGTAGTAGCACGGTGCGCTCGGAACCTCCCCGATCCTTGGCAGGTGGGGAACCGAACGCCTGGAGCTCGCGCCCGCTCGTGGCAGCAGTTCCTTGGAGCTCGAGGAAAGGAAGCGGCTAAACCTAGGGAGAGAGACAGGTGCGGAAAGCTCGAACCATGAAATAAACCTTATAGAACGCACAAGCAACCCACGCTCGACTGCCTTTTACTTAATGCGATGTAGTAACACGGGATAAAATTCACAAAGGTGTGCGTGTGTTTCCAGCCCAGCTTCGGGTCAAACAACTGAGCGTTTGTCCTCAAACGCGAAAGATTTTTTAATCACGTACGAGATTCTTGCCCTCTTCCTTTTTTCCCCTTGCTGCATTTGGAGAAATCTATGCAGCATTTTTGTTGAAGAAACCCTTTCTCAATACTGAAACATCTTGCTGTACTCGCAACGTGGCATTGCTGGTTGCACCTGTCCGAGGTCTGTGATTCCCCTTGGCTCGAGATAGGAGAAAATTGCCTTCCACAAAGAATCTGGCTGTCGAGGCTGACCACATTACCCATTGCTTCCCTGAGTACACTCCAGTTTAAAATTAGAGTTGTCTATCAACTGCAACTGACTAGCTAGCTTCTAAATTACTCCCCGCTACGTTTAATTACTGATACCTGAAACATACTTTTTGTGCCTATATTAAAACTCGAATGTGTTGCAGCTGAATGGGCTGTTAAGAGAATATGTGGAGTGGAAAAGTTAATCCTGGTATGCCTGGACAGTACATCTACTCCTTTTTCCTGAATCAATTTGTTCTGTCTGAGAACAGAATAATTGAGTAAGTGTTGTGATAATTCTCCTAAATCCATTGTAAGTTTTATCTGGTAAAAGATAACATTTGTGATACTTAGGACTACTGACTTGTCATGTGGCATGGCATTTAGTTTGGAGAAAGATGAGCACTGTCTGACCCCAGTGTGATTTATAGAGTCACGGCACAGTTGCAGCTTGGGAGGACCCAATTTGGTCTGTTGTATCCATGTTGGCTCTTTGCATTAGTCCCACTCCCTAGCCTTTTTTTTTAAACTAGAGCCCTACAGATGTTTTCAAATAACTATCCAGTTTTCTCTTTTAGAGATCCAAGTTTAAAACTGCCTCTGCCACATGGCTCAAGCAGTGCATTCTGGATGCCCTAACCATCTAATGTGTAAAAATGGTTTTCCCTGTGTCATTTCTGTTTTTTTGCCATCCTGTCTATATTATGTGAACTCGGCTGCAAAATATCCACAAATTTGGCTACTTGTGTTGCAACTGACAATGTACCTGTGATTGCTTGCATGGTGAGTTCCTAATTCTAGTTTCACTGTTTCAAGGTATTGAGCAGGTGCCACATGCTTTTGAAGGAGAAATAAATGTACAGTCTATTGCCCTTGACTGTTCTTGCACACCTTTTAGTGCTTTGTTCTAATACAGTCTTGGCGTAGATGCACAGTTTTTTTTGCTAGTACTCTGGCAAACTCTGCCTACAACTGTACTGGTTCTCATACTATGTGATGGGAATGGTTTAATGACTGAGTAAATCTGGTTTCAATTACAAAGTTGTAGGAAGTTTGCCTCTTATTTGAGGATAATTCTCTGCAAAGTATTGCTTTCTTTCAATGCAAAGATACTATTGTTGTGGAATGAAGATTTCTCAAGCCAGATTTTGACTTGGGGTAGAGAAATTTGTTTAGAGGCATGCGTTTGAAATTTGGGTTCTCTGCTATCCATATCTGCATGACATTTTGTACAAAGGTTAGTTTTGGCTGCCTTGCAAGTTCTTCTGAAGGTGCTGATTTGTGCTTGAGTGCAATTTATTAGACAGAACCTTAGTTCTTGCCATTATTTGCATGAAAGTTGTGATCATGGCTGAATCTGGCCCTGTTAGCAGCATGGATGACAGTTTACATACAAAACACTGCAACTTCCACCTATTTGCAGCAAATATTGGTGAATATTTGGAGGTGTTTTTGGTGTCTGATAAATTTACATAATATTTTAGGTTTGGCTATTAGCATTAAATTGCGATTTGGAATTTTCAAGATACTGTATCCTTTACAACTGTACCCCCACCCCTCAAAAAAAAACACTTTTGTCCTGTATAGAGTGAAGCTTCTTGAGTGCTGTTGGAGCTTCATTCATCCAGACAACTGGAGACTATTCTATCACACTTGAAATGCGCTGTATGAATTATGGTGAAGTACTTGCATCAGTATTCCTGGCCTTCATTTAACCTGCTCTTGTAGCCACAGTATTTATGTGGCTAGACTAATTCAGTTTCTGGTCAATGGCACCCCCAACGATGTTGATAGCGAGGGATTCAGCAATGCCTTTGAATGTCAAGGGACGGTGATTAGATTGACCATCTCCAAAAAGAGACATTGCCTGGTACTTGTGTGATGCGAACGTTATTTGCCACTTTTCAGCCCAAGCCTTGATATTGTTCAGATCTTGTTACTTTTGGATATGGACCATTTGAGGAGTCACAAGTACTGAACATTGTGCAATCATCCGAGAATGTCCCCATTTCTGACCTTGTGATGGATTAATGAAGCAGTTGAAGATGTTAGGCCCAAGTTATTCCCTTGAGGATCTCCTGCAGAGATATTCTGGAACTGAGTTAACTGACCTCAACAATTACAGCCATCAACCTTTGTGCAAGGTATGACTGTATTCAGTAGAGAGAGATCCTCCTGATTCCCACTGACTCTAGTTATGCTAGAGCTCCTTGATGCCACATTTGGTCAAATGCTACCTTGATATCAAGTGCTTTCACCTCCCTTCCCCAGTGTTCAATGAGATCTTTTTGAGTTGGGAGGTTTTGCAAAGGAAATTGTGTGTGGAGCTTAGAAGACTATGAACATGTGCATCCATCATGTAACAAGAGATGATGTGGGAACATGCAATGCCAGAGTTTAGAGGGATTAAGAATTTTGGGATCTGTTTGTAAGGCTAAGGAAGGTTCTTTGAAGTGCAAAGCAACAATATGAGTCAACATTAGGATGAACATTTTAGTTGGAAGTGTTGGGAACCAGAACCCTTGTAGTTTGGCAACGTTAGGACTGAGTGGTGCTTAAATTGTAGAATGATACAATGCAAGAGGAGACCGTTCAGCCCATTGTGCCTATGCTGAATCATTTTAAATGAGCTCTCTATCGCCATTCCCTTTCCAAATTGCTGTATGTTGAGTATCTCTCAATCCATTTTGAAAGTTGCTATTTCTCCTTGTGCTGCCTGAAAAAATGGTATATTCAAGATCACTGATACTTGTTGTCTAAAACAAATTCTCATCTCTTCAGTTTTTTTGCTAATTATCTTAAATATGTGTCATCTAGTTGCCGATGTCCTGCCAGTGGAAACATTTTTTTCACATATTCTATCTAAAACTTCGCTAATTTTGAATAAGTTAATCTCCTAGTTTTAAGAAAAAAATCAATTTCTCTCGTCTCCACGTAATTGAAATCACTTGTCCTTCCTATAATCGTAAATATTTTCTGCCCTTGTCCAAGTGAATGGTATCCTGCTCAAAGTGTGAGGTCAAGTTTAGAACCAAAATTGCAACTGAGCCTGAACAATTGCTATGATTTATAGGAGCTGGTGGTGGAATTTTGGTTGAGGTGTGTGGAAGATTGAAATCCAACAATGAGTGTGGTGGAGTCTTGCCACAACAAAGAAATAAAAAAATTTAACTGTAGGTGGAGACAGGCCAACTGATGGGACCAACAGTAATTTTGGTCTTGATATTTTATTGGAGGAAATCACGGTTTATGTAAGCCTGTATATTGGACACGCGGGTGGATAACAACATTAGAGAGGTGGTGGAAAAATAAAGCTAGCTGTTGCAGCTGGAAGTTGTACATCTTCCTGGATCTGAGATTTCCGACAGGCAATTAAGAACTAGACACAACTAAAACTGAAAGCAGCTTCCAGTTCTGAAAAGGGTCACCGGCCTCTCTCTCCTCTCCATGGCTGTTGCCAGACCTGCTGAGTTTCTACAGCAATTTCTGCTTTTGTTTCAGATTTCCAGCATCCTCAGTTCTTTGTTTTATTTGAATATTCAGATTATTGGGAATGTCCTTATGTAGGTCTCCTGTCTGCTTTGTTGTAATTGGTACATTCCACAGGAAGTTGCCTAAAATGCATTTCCCAAACTAAAGCAAATATATTTATTATATCCAGCATGGAAAATGTTCTACTTTTATACTGCCTGCATACACAGTTAGATGGTTATAAAGAAAAATGAACATCAGTGAGTGGCAACTTTGCAAACAGTGGCTCCCTAATGTAAGCTGTATGTTAACAATATTCTGTCTACTGCGAAACACAACAAGTTGCCATAAAATTAATTAGGCATGAAGGATCTCTGTTGAAATTGTGGGAAAGAAACTGCTAAAAGTATAGCAATTCAGTGACATCTGTCGGGCGGAAGCATTTCTGATTTAGTATTCAAGTACTGCGCTGTAGTGTGGGTTAGATAAGTTTGTTTAAGATTTTGAAATGATTTGTCACTAACTGTTATTGACATGTCGGATCATCTCAACTCTTTTGTAATGGAGTTTCATAAATGCTGGAGCATATCGTTTTTGCCGAGTCTTTTTCTTCTGGTTAACACTGTTGCCTCGCTGGGCTGGGGACCCAAGTTTGATTCCACCCTTTAGTGACTGTGTGGAGTTTGTATGTTCTCCTTGTGTTCGCATGGGTT